CATCTCCGGGATTTAACACACCTGGTAGGGTATCCGGGTCTTCAGGTTTCTTCTTCAACATGTTGCGCAGAGACTGAAGCCATTGTCCTAGTCTGCACTCACGCTTCGCCTGTTTCTTGGGATATGATCCCTGCTTGAACAGCTTCGCCCCGTCATTGAGGCGGTAGTCAAGCCTGATGACGAACCCGCGCGCCAGCCCCAAACACGCTCGGTTGTCCGCACTACTTTTCTGCCCATCGATTTTCTCCTCATGAAGTTGGTATCGATGGCTGGCCGAAGCACCGTCGGACGTTGTGCCAGCAACGAGGACCTCACGAAACTCCCATGGCACGTGCTTCTTGAGGAACGCGCCCAACGCATCTCCACCCTGGCCGAAAGACTCGTCGTCGTTGTCGAGGTAACAAGTGCGCAGCAGCAAAGTGGTGTTGTATACCATCGGCAGCACATGGGTTGCGTCGACCTGTAAACGGGGTAGCAACAACAGAGGAGGTTAGCAAAACAGTAAAGTAAATCAACCAACAATTTCTCGCTAAACATGCTCACCTGGCAACGCTGGAACTTCAAGCTGAGTTCGTGTCATTTGGGTTGACATGTCAAGTAAGGGCGTTTCGACCCGAAGCGCATTTGAATTGGAGTGTCAAACACTATAGCTGAAGTGTCAAGTCGAAGCGCATGTACGAACACCATCGACTCAATTTCATCGGTTTGAGAATTTGTCATGTGTGGATCTGCTAGGCAACGAATGATTCAAAAGACAGATTGTGTGCTGATTGGGCAGCATCCGGTCGTGAGATAGGCACCTGTGACAATCTTCTCTCGCTTGGAGGTTTGACTGTGCCAATTTCAAAAGTGTCCGGCGATTTGTATTGGCTGGCAGCCTGCAATTTCTTGACACCCTGCCAACAATGTTGGCCGAGTGTCACAATGCCAAATTCACACTGCCCACTTTGACATGTCATCCCTACGAACATGACCTGAGAAGGTTGAGCTCCTTCAGCACATCCGCAAGGAAGAACAGCAAGAAATGGAATTTGTAGCTCGTGACAACTTGATACATCTTATGGTTTGACTTGTGCAAAACCATCACTGCTGCCAGAAACACTTTCACCAAGCGCTGGATAGCTTGACCACGAGACAACCATCGAATGTCCTTTATCCCTTGGACTTCGAGATTGGTCTCACAATTGACCTCCTAAAGCTCTTGGAAACAAGAGTGGACCACAGAGGAACGGCCAAGGTTTTCCGCTATGGACTGGACCACCTTATCCATGACGTTGAAGTCCGGAAAAGTGGTGGCAGCATCCTTGGCCGCCAATGCCTCCATGCAAGACAAGGAACGAAACATTAGCACTAATTTTACAACCTTATGTAACAAAAACTTAGCTACAAACTTGTCTGTATGCGATGTAGTGTGACGACACAATATGTAGAACCTTCGCTTTGAGGCGCGCGGTCACTCCGTTGTGCTGGCCAATCATGACATTAGCTCCATCAGTGGTGATACCGGTGAGGCGCTGGAAATCGATGCCGGTACTCTCCAAATGCGTCAGGAGAACGGTAGTGAGCGACTCGGCATCACACTGCTCCACGGCGAGCAAGGCGCAGAATTCGGTGACGGGAGCGTTGTCACGCATGAACATCATGTAGACGATCATGTGTTTCCCCCGCCGTCAGTCGGTGCTCTCACGGATTCCAAGGTAAGGACTCTCGCGGATGTGTTTGATCTGGCGGGTTTTCAGGTAGCACACCATGGTCTCGACCAGTAATGCGGAGCCGTACCTGAAACAAGCAGGAAAAATAATCATTATCATTTTATTGTCACTGAACACAGAGACAAGAGTAACGAACGGGAAACTTACTCGCTGTAGTACGTCCTGTTCTCCTTCAAGGGCAAATCTGGAGTCCCCTGCTCTGCCATGAACTGAACCAATGCCACAAATAGCACAATGGGTGCGTCAGACTTGCAAATGAATAGCACTATAGACATCAAATGAGCAAGACACTTGACATCATCGTCCCCTTGGTGAAATCCGGAATGGACTTTTGTCCTTTCTTCTGTCCGTCTCGCTACTCCTTCCTCGAGACCGCCGCCTCATGTTTCAGGTTGTGGCGATGCTTGCGCATCGTCTGCTTCCGAATGTCAATGCCACCATCGCCGTAGCGCTCGTACTTGTAGTGGGGGTCTTCGAAGACCATGCAAATACTGCATCGCATGCAGGGCCGACCCTCCTCCTTCAACTCTCCTCATCAGTTCCCCCGCCCCTTAGGTTCTAGACCCCATATCGTCCTCAAGCACCTGCCACAGGTCCCCTAAGCTAGGTTCCCAAGGATCTGCCGATGCCTGCGGGTAGGCTGCTTCTGCCGCCAAGTTTGATTTGTTGAGGAAAGACGTGGCTTGTGACCGCTGTAGCATGACAGACCATCGCTGCCTGTAGTGCGCAGTGAGGCGGCTGGCAGTTGTGGTGAGAGGGCCCTGGCGGAACTTCTTCTTTGCTGCCGCTGTTGCCAGGAGCCGAAGGAACTGAACTGTGTCTGTGACCAGTGCACCTCTCAACCTCCAGCCCGAAGAACCCCACATAATCGGGCCGCCCTTCATACAGCCTATGTTTCTTCTTGGAAGCCTCTCTGGCCGCCCACCTTGGCGGCTTTTTTTCCCTCTTGTCCCTCTTCTGGAGTACTGAGTCAGCCACGGTGACATTAGTCACCCATGCTTCCGCAGATTCTCTGTCCTGGAATGCCAAGTCCACCCGTTTGCGAATGACTGGTGGTAAGAAGACAGAGGTCTCGTGAAAGGTGTTGAAGCCCGCCTCTCTTGCCATTCGTAGGGCCACATAGACCAGGCTGTTGTGCGTTCTGATCACATCTCCCCCTTCCCCACAGCGAAGCAGATGATTCGGCAAGCTGGTGTCATTGATGTCCGGGTTCTCTCTCTTGCAAGGGCACTTCACAGTGACTAGAAGGCCGAGGTGGAAGCCGAGCACCATCGAGAACTGACCGGGGGATAATGTAAGGTCAGCCCTCGTCGGCATTGTGTGCAGCCAATCTCCCGCCCCTATGCCTTTCCGACTAACAAGTCGTACCCCATGTCCACAGTCCTCTCCCGGCCTGTCAACGACAGTGTCAGCTAGCAACTCCGCCGCTCTCTTTTGATTGATGTGCTTAGACAGTAGCAGCAGCAAGTTCCCCTGCCCCGCCAGTCCGTCCCTGAATGTTTGAAGCGCCACCTTGGCCTCGGCTTAGAGAGCCTCTTTAAGAGAGGTAAGCCTATTCTGTGCTGGCGGTGGTGGGATCCAGGTGTGAGACAACCTCGTTACCGCGCGGCTCTGGAGGTATGACTCCGGCAGTTTCATCTATCACAGAAGCGGCTGCGCTGCTGTCACCGATGCAACGTAGGCTGCCGGCGCTTTGGAGATGGGGTCCACGATGCTAAGGCCCCCCAAGCGGACCGGTAGTGCCGCCTGCCGCCACAGTAGGCTCTGCTCCAGTTCTGAAGTGGGGACGTGGAGTTCAGCCGCTGCGAGAGCTGCTCCCACTAGAGATTCACTCCATGCCCCCCATTCCTCGTTCTCCCGCGTCTCCCGAGGTGTGGTTCTGAGCAGATACGAGACCCTATGAGAGATGCTATGTAAGAGGAGGAGGAGCGCATTCTGGGGGTGAAGCTGTGCAATCAGGGGCACCGGGGCAGATGTCTTGAAGAGCGCCGACCGGGCTTCGTCCGTGCAATAGTCCGGCATCCCGACCGGACTACACAGCACTCGGATTCCACCACTGCTCAGTGCCAGCCCGTGTGGTAGCTCCCGTGTGCCTCCCTCCCCAGCCAAACGTCCCCACGCCGAGGACTTCTCAACGTTGCAGCGGAGTCCACACTTTGCTAGTTCCGCGACGATGATGTCAAATGCCTCAAATGCCTTCTCCTTAGGTACCGTAATCGTGATGTTAGCGGTCTCTGGCACTTGTGTTGAGGTACGAAGGAGTGTGGGCTGGATCGCAGCCGCGAATAGTAGTGGGCCAAGTGGGTCTCCCTGCCTCACGCCCCGTGAGCTTCGGATGTGGTCAACTCCGAGTCGAGCATCGGTCAGCAGTCTCGAAGGGCCGTCGTAGAGCATTCTGACAAACGGGATCAATGAGTGGAGGTTGGCTGTGTTAACGCCGAGAAGAAGGCTACTCGTTCCACACTGTTGAAGGCGTTTCCCACATCCAACTGTAGGGCTATGTGCTCGTCGTGTTCCTCTAGCAGGGCTGCACCGTGTGTATGACGCATTCGGCTCCCCCTGTCACCGAAACGCCATATTGTACCGGCAGGAAAAAATTGCGAATGCTAGGCGCAAGCTCGCTAAGCGTTGCTTTAGCTGCCACCCAGAGTAAGGCCTCTCCTATTGCAATCGGCCGCACCCCTCCGCCTGGCTTCGCTAGAGCTATCAGCGTAGACGGTAGGATCAGCTCACGCACCTCCTGTGTTTGTTTCCCGTTTAGTAGGTGGCGGATCACTGACGTGAATTGGATGCAGACTTCTTCATTACCAAGCACAGGAACCTTCAAATGCTCAAAGAAATTCCCTAATATTCGGGCATTTATGCAAGATGTCGCAAATGTCGTCTGGGGTCACATTCAGTGACGAGGCAGCCTGGCTAGTAACCCAGTCGGGGATTGGCATTTCCTCTTTGGGGTGTTTTACCTGCAGGGCTGCGAGGGTCACTGCTGTAGCTTCAGCAAGTGGCGTCGCAACCTTTTTTAATCAACCCTTCAGCTCTTGCAATAAGTCTTGCTTCGTTCAGCTGGTGTCTTGTCGGCTCTCCTGTATCGGGTATGATGCATGCCTCATTGTACATGTCGCTCCAAACTCCGAGCCTGAAATGGTGCAATCTTGTTTCAATCCCAAGCCACCTGCTCCCTTCAACAGGTCTGAGAGGGGGACGTAGGGTCAGCCTCTGCAGATACTGCGCAATCCAGGTTCATTGCAAGGTGCAAGAGGGGTGCACGCAGGCACATGGTGTAGTTCTCTAGAATCTTGGGTGGTAACCGCCGGACAAGGAAGACTGATCACTGCGTTGAAGCGGTGCAATGTCCCATCCGCTCGCCAGGTGCCAGATGTTGTCATCCCTTGCCAGATCAGCTGGTGATTTCTCATTAGGCGCCACCTGGGCACTTCCCACTAAGCCTGCGCCCGGATTGTTGGGTTCCTCTTGTCCACATGCCTCCCCACCACCACGTACGCGGTGAGTGTTGCTAGGCGGATTTCCCTCCTCCCCTTCTGAGGTGTCGTCCTCTGGAGATTGGGAGCGGGAGGGTATAAAGTGACTCCCTTCCTCCGGAGTGTAAGGAGCATCCACATTCCCATTCGCTGGTGCTGGTGGCTGTTCAGGACGGCCGTATCTCTCCCGCCACGTGCCGGATCTCGCTATCGGCGCTTCCCCGCTCAGTGTCGTAACTAGTCCCCTCCTCGTGCCACCCCGTTCCGCCCGTTCGTCATCAGGTTGTAGCGGCATCGCCCGCTACTCCACCATCCCTAGAGCCACCAACACGCTCTGTGGTCCCCGGCCCACCGGCACCTAGGGGTTCATTGGCGCTGCAGATCCTGCGCCTTTCGGTCTGCCCCATACGATTCCTCGCCCGCGAATCGCGCCCCGCGTTTCATGGTGAGTTGCCTGTGTCGCTGTCACTCTCATCTTTTGCTGCGCGGATCGTGTCTCAACTGTCGTAGGTTGTACCTGGCGTTCTCCCCCCGTGCTTGCTTCCTCATGTGCCTCTACTGCTAGCCGTGGTGCAGATGTTGACGGATGCCCTAGCGCTTGTGGTGACGGCGCTTGCCGAAGCCAGCCCAGGAGGGGTCTTGGGTGACCAGGCGCCAGCGTTGCTCCATGCCGCGGCAGTGCTGGCCGGGCACGCAGCCCCGCGGTCTTCCCGCGGGCGGCGTGAGCGTCGTCGCGGCTCCCGAGAGCCTGTGTTCCACTCTCCTCCTGGGCGCGCTCCGGCAATTCTCCGTCCTCGGCAGCAGCAACCCTTACGGCGGATGAAGCGCCAGTCGAGACGTCCGCCGCGTCCCGGACCACATGGTGCGCCACAGAAGCAGTAGCATCGGCGTTCGTCCAAGCCTCCCTCACCTCTGCCAAATCCTCCAGCAACGTTGGTGCCGTCAATGCCTCTGTCCCTGCCAGCTCGAGCTGAATCCGATCCGTCTGTGCCCCTTCCAGCAACACCGCTATTGCCACCGCAGTCTGTAGCTCCGTGGGCTCTCGGCGGCGACGCCGCCGCCCTTGTCCCCTCTGCCTCCTCCGCCGGCTGCTGCTCCAGCTGTGTTGTCACTTCCTGCGGCTGGGTATCCACAGCTCTTCGTGGGAGGGATCCAAATCTCGATCCCATGGGAAGCACTGGGGCAGGAGGCTCCATCTGTTGCTCCTGCGCCTGTGCCCACCCTTGATGAGCGATGGGGCTTGTGGGTTGAGAAACCGACGGTGGATAGGCTGCTCCGCGTTGAGCGGCGCGTAACGACCGTGGGGATTTGCCTTGATCATCTTTCGACTGTTCTGGATCAGCTGCATGCCTGCCTGAAACGTTTTGGTGTGGAGTTTCCGGAGCTGCTGAAGGACAAGAGGGAGTGTGCTGTTGCTGCGGCGACTGAGATGCTGCTCTCCTTTCCCCACGTTGGGCTTGAGATGGGCGCCCTTAGGATTTCCCGCAGCCCTGGTCCGACTGCTGTTCGGCGGTTAATCTCTGCTGCCCGCCACTGATCGCTCGACCTGACACCAGCTGCCGCATCCGAGTTGCGTTGGATGGACGGGAGGCTGGTGTAGATTCTGACCTAGTAGTCGCCGCTCTCCCTTTGCCCACTTGGGTTTTCGGCCTGTGCTTGGGCTTCCCCATGACGCTGTGTAAGCACCTGGGGGTTTTGTTCTTGGTTGATGTTGTTACTGCTCCATTCTGCGTCACCCTTTGCTATAGTGTTGCCTTCCCCTTCTCCTTTCCTCCCCTCACGCGCGGCCGTAGGCCGAGCTGTCGAGCATCGGCCGCCCTTCGGAGCCGGCGTGAGCCTCCGGATTTGGAGAGGAGAATTAACTCATCAGTGAAGAATTATCTCAAAGGACTCTCACTAGGTGCTTTATACTAGGGGAACACTGCTAAAAATAGCTAAGGACTAAGGCCTAGGGGAGAGAGGCTAAAAACAGCTAAGGACTAAGGTCTAGGCCATCTTTCTCTCTCAATCCTTCTACATCCACTCCATCCTTGAGTGCTCTGAAATGTCGCAGGCCAAACCAGTTTCCACTCCTCTTCCCACTAACCATCAGCTTACTGTCCCTGCCGTTCCCGCTCCCTCCTCAGAATTGCGACCCTATCCGAAGCTCGTTGGGACACTCTTGTATGCTACGATGTGCACTCGCCCCGATCTTGCTTACCCCCTCAATGTCCTCTCTTGCTTTGTTGGTCTTGGTCGCCATAACACTACTCTTCCACCTTGCTCCTCGTTATGCCATGCAGGTGCGTGTACCGAGCTGCCTTGTAACGAGTTGGTGAAGAGTCGGTGCAGAATCGTGGATCTGGGCAAAGGTGCCCTGTTTCTCTGTGGTAACCAGACCGATGGCGTTATAAGCGAAGGAAGCGACAGCACGATTGATACCGGTATTCCCTCCATCACCCCCCACTATTTCTCTTCCGTGTTCTCCCACCATTCCTTTTCTTGACCCTTCAGCATTCCCAATCCTATTCCACTCCCACTTCTCTTGCAAACACTCGTCGCTCTTCACCTTTTTGACTGTTGACTCTCATATCCACTCACAAATCCCATCAATTCCCCTCATCGTTTTCTTTTCCTAGCTCACTCAACTGCGGTATAACCGTCACATTTATTCTCCTGAGGGGCCACACGCGCGTATCAGGACCCACACGCGGTCCTGATTGTCGCACCCTTTGACTCGCACGAAAACGGTCAAACAGCACCCCTTTGACCAGCCAACTTTTGAGCCCCCCTGCACACCACTCACTCACATAAGCCTCGTATGAAATATTCGAGGCATATGGAACTTCGACGAGCCTCGCATAAATCACTCGTAGCTTGCCCATATGAGCCTCGTATGAAATATTTCACATGTGACTTTCATGAGAACTCATTTGAGTTTCATGAGGGCCTCATTTGAGACTATGTGGGAGTCTCATTTGAGCGCATCATGTCAGCCTCATTTGAGCGCATCATGTGAACAGTGAAAACGAAACTGAAAATGCACAAACACAAAATGCAATTACGAATGAAAACGAAACACACAAAATTCAAGAACAAATGCGCATAGAACATCGCAAGATGAAAATGAAAAATGCGCACACACACAAAATGCAAAATGCCATGCAGACGGCTGGTCGACGTGCAAAAATAATTATTTGCACCCAACAATACACTCGCATCCAGTGCTTCTCCACATCGTGTTTGCGTCGAAGTCGAGGTAAAAGTTCACGTCACCAAGAGTTTTGCACTTGAATTTGTCTTGAAGCTTTAGCATCACTTCCTTCACAAGGTTATAGGAGTGTGAGAATATGAGGATATTATCCACATAACCCACCATAAAACTCCTCTGCTCCCCCTCACCAAGCACGAACAAGGAATGATTGGTCATAGAGGGAGTGAAACCGACTTCCTCCAAAACTTCTCGCAACTTCAAGTATCATTGTCTAGGGGCTTGCCCAAGCCCCTAGAAGACGTTCTTCAGCTTCCACACTCTGCCACTACCATCATCAAACACCCTCTGACTGCGCCATAAAAATCTCTTCCTGAAGGACGCCGTTGAGGAATGTCGTTGTCACATCCATTTGTTTCACCACCCATCCTTTGATGGTAGCTCCCGCGAGTAGGGTTCGCAGCATCGTCGGCTTCACCACATGAGCAAACAACTCCTTACAGTCCACCTTCTTCTTCTGCTGGTATCCCTTGGCCACAAGCCTGAACTTGTAGCACTCGATTTTGCTGTCGGCGTCGGACTTGGTCTTGAAGAGCCACTTGGACGCAATCGCCTTTCGCTCCTCCAGTTGCTTTACCAATTCACACGTGTTGTTCTCCTCAATGCTCTTCAACTCAATCTCCATGGCCTTATTCCACTCTTCAGCATCACTACTCTCCAAGGCATCCTTGAGAGTTGCTGGTTCTCCCGGTATCTCCACCGGAGAGAAGAACGCAAAGGCACACTGCTCGTAGTCATTCTCCTCGTCATCTCCAACCATAAGTGCTGCTCCAGCCAAGACTGGCCTAGCTGGCTTTCCCAGTGCATCATAGGTCAGCCTAAAATAGAGGCCTTAATTCTCCTTTGGCCCCTTCCTTCCTCCTCAGCTGCAGAGACATGAAGGCTCTCATAGCGCGGGGTAACTCGAACCCCTCGAGCACTCGTAGTGCGAGGTGGAAGCATCGATGTATGCTCGCTTACTTACTGTACCTCCTCCCCCTCTTCCTCTTCATTCCTGGCCTCCTCTCCCCCATTCACAAGAGGAGATTGCCTAGTGATGGTACTGCTGCTACTCACCTCCAAAGGCATGCACATGCTCCAAGCCAGGTCTCGTCACCTCTTCAATCCACGCGCCTATCTTCGCCTCATTTCCCGCCTTCAAATCATTGGTACATCAGGTTTTCCATGAATGCGCATACCTTGCCCATCAAGAACTTCTGGGTGAATTGGTCCCAAAAAAGCCATCCTTTGCTACTTTGAGCCATGCTCAAGTGCACAGCCCATATCGCCTTGGTGCCTAGCTTGTTGTGCCGAAAATGCTTAGGCACGAGCGCCATGCACATGCACCCTAAACCCTAAACACCCAAAGCATATCCGCCTTCGGCTTCCTTCCAATCCAATCCACATAGGACACCCATCTGTTTGCTCCCACATGAGTCAAGGCTCTGTTTTTAGCCACACACGCACTCCGCACTGCATCAGGCCAAAAATAGTCCAGTAGCCCGGCTTCATTAAGCAATCCGCGTGCCGTCTCCGTGATTGTTCGGTTCGCTCGCTTGGCGATGCCGTTCATAACAGGGGAGTTTAGCATGCTAAGTGTGAGAGTACGACGGCTTATGCCAGCTATGCTTGCTTGCCTTTACTTTATTATGCTATTTCTAGCATAGGATAATTATATGCATGCATGAATTGCTCGATTTCCTAGGCTAGGTGCTTTCCTACATTTTATTATAGTTATATCACCGAGCTAGGTTGCGTGCACCGAATTCTGGCTTTTCGGTTGCCACCGAATTGCCTCCTACCGAATTCGGGTAGGATCTGTTCGGGACGCTTCGCGACCCGCGGAACCTTCGCGTAACACCTGGTTACGGGGCCTTGTGTCGAGCCTATATATAGCCTCGAGTTGTACCCAGGTGATTCATTCAATTCGATTCAATTCACATTCTCTTTTCTGAGCTCGATCCTAGATCCTCACACTTGGTAATCAGAGCGGGTTTTCACGCGAGGTCTTCAACCGCTTAGTTCCGGCCTTTAAAAAACCGCGGGGGCGACGACGAAAGCGCCGATACGGGTATGTAAAACCAGTTCCGCGCAATTTTTCTAAGTCCCCCTCGATTCGGTTTTCGAACACCCCTCAGATTTACTGGTGGAAGGGTTGGAGTTTCGACCGTTCGATCGAGTTTCATCTCAACGGCCCAGAGAATTTCGCCCAAAAAAGTTGGAATTTGGAGCGTCGGATTGATTTTCTCCTCAACGGCCAAGATCGGACGCGAATTTCGCCCAAGGGAGATTTACGCGACCTACAGAATTCGCGCTCGTCGATCCTTTAGTCAACTTGACTCGCAGTATGTCGACCAGCACCTAGAATTCGATTTTTTTCGTCGCGCATCTTCCTGTAAATCGCCAAATGGAGAAAAAAGGAGAATATGGTGGCGCAAATTTAAAACGTCACGACCAGCCGGCACCAGGGGAAATCGCCGAGACTAATGGAGGATCCGCGAAACAAGACCCTGCACCGACCGGGAAACTCCAGCCGTATACCCCGACAAGTAAGAATATTACTTCTCGTGGGTTTCAAGCCTTTATTAAGGGAGAGTCAGAAATTAAACCGGTACCGGGTATTATGGGGACCCTACTCCAGAGCGCTAATACGGGTCGAGCGTTCCGAGGAGTTAATATTCTCTCCCAGCAGCACTGTTTAAAGGCTCCCTGTTCCCCACAGATGAAGCCTACACAGCTGCAAAGGCTTAGTGGAAGGTTCCAGGCCCAAGAGAAGCCGAATCGGCCTCGGATAAATCCTTCTAACCTTTCTCAGTTGAAAACTGATACTGAAGCTGCATCTTCGAGCGCAGGACCTAGGGATAACATATTCGACGTACCCTACGATCCTATAAGCGATACCATCTACGGATACTCGGAGCAGTAGCAACCACTAGTACTCGAGGTGATCTGCAACGGGCGTCGCCT